TAACTGTGGTCTTTGCTACTATCACCGATACACTCCCAAGGTTGCTGGACAACCTGTGCTCCGCAATACATTTGCTATAACGTATCTGAGTAGTTGCAGTACTTCATTACATCTTGTGTTTTGGTTGATTATTCCAGTTCCTGGTTAAAAAACCCCAACCTCTCTACTGTATTTTTCATTTGGTGTCTGGTGGACCTGTGCTATGGTAGTGCCCTCTGCTTCTCTTCTTTACATGATGACTTTCAACAGGCCTGTCTCCCTTTTACAGACTGGACCTAGAAAAGCAAATACTCTCTTGATGTGCAGGGCACTTCTTTATTTCCGTAGCTTCCTTTCTCAGTAAGTTATATCATCTGCATTAACCATCTAGTCTTGTGAACTATTTACCAAGCCTCTCTTATTGCCCAATTATATTATAGTTTTGATGCTGTACTAGTTTCCTTACAGCTCTTTTTGTGTATTCACCACAATTCTTACAGAGGTGTCTACTAGGGTCCGCAGATCAATCCCACTTTACTCTTCACTGTGTTTCTTTCCCATGAGATTATCATGGCCAACACGATCTCCCACGGTGTTTGTATCCATGTTCATTTACTGTACCCACCTCCGGCTTTTGTTTGTCAAACTCACTTGATCCTACTTAAAAGATTATTTCCCTGAGGTAAGCCAGGAGGGGAACAAAGTTGAAATTCCTTTTTTTCATAAGGTGAACTCTGTTCTTGCCCAGCAGTTCGTGGTGTATCGTCTCTGAAGAAGGAAACTTGTCATAGTGACCCATGTGTCTTTGGAGGGGAGGGCAACGTGTGAAAAGGAGAGGCAGCAAGACGCGATAGAGGAAACTTGATTTTTTTAAAATCCTTTATTGGTCTGTGTGCTACACCAGCGATACCACACTCTAAAAGGGATCCTGTATTTTCCCATGGTCTCTAAATGTTTGCAGTAGGCGGGCAGGCAGAATGAATTGTCTCAAGAATATGAAGACCATAAATTTGTGTTTTCCCTCCTCTCCCTGTAAATCACAAGAGTCGATGTGCTGTGCAGGTCTGAGGCAATAAAGTCTCCAGCTTCCATTTTCAAAATTGGAAAGCTGTGTTTATAAATAATGGCCTTTCCTGCTAATTAGATCCTTCAGTTGCTTTATGTGCCAGTGTTCTGATCAGTGTTCCCGTAGCTCTTGTTCTCAGTGCTCGTTTTTCACGGGGTCGTGGAGCTGCTTAACACTTGCCGTCTTAATTAACACATTTTGTCATAGAGTACTCGGGTCACTCCTTGCATGTTCGCACGCGCGCCCAGGCAGGCGTCTCTTCTCTGTGTGCAAGCACTGGTGTGGAGAGCCATGTAATTCGGGAGCTGGCCCTGATGCTCAGCCGTCCTGCTCCTCCTACCCAGCCCCACCACGGGGCAAAGAGCAGGCAGGTTCCCAGGGCATTGCCACTTGGAGAGGGTTTTCCACTGACGGGTCTTTATCAGCCAGTAAGAGAATTTAATGACACTTCCTCGAGCGTTTCAAGGTCCCTGCGTTTGCTTTGGTGCAAACCTGGATTTTAAAGGTCAAGTCGATCGGCGAAGCCAGGCTGTGGGTCGCGTTGAGCTGTAGCTGCCTGCAGGGTGTGATGGGGATGAGCAGGGATGCAACTGTCCTTTGTGAGTGTGGTGGTCTTGCACACACCAAATACTCTACTGTGTGTTGAAAGCCGTTCCAAAATTACCCAATACAACTGTAGGGAGACTGCTTTGTCAAGCCACCACTTGACTTTTGAAGTAGCTTCATAAAGAAGCCTTTAATTAGCTATTTTAGACCTTTACTTCCCCACATACAAAGAAGCTCCCAGAAGGATACACTTGAGAAAAGCAGAGCAAATTTTAGCAGGCAGTTAGCATAATGTAAAAGAAGAAAATTTACTTTGGATATGTGGTTCTCATTAGTTAAAAGATGTGGGGAAATCTGGTAGTTACAGAAGGATGCTGGCTGCATTTGAGGTTCAGGTTACCACACAGTTGAGGGATTTCAGCATTTACTGATGTGATTTTTACGTAGGGGTTTGTTGTGGGTTTTTTTAGTGAATAGAGAAAAATGTGATTTTTTTGTGAATAAGCTCTGCAAGCATATTTCATAGTATGTAGATATTTTAAAATTTATTCTCTATATATGAAGTAATAGTTTTCCATGGTAGGATGAAATACCCAAAAGTCAATTAAGGTATTAAAGTCAATCCTTTATTTAATTTGGAGAAGGGTGCTTCAGACTGAGAAGAGATTCACAGGGGATGCTGCAGTTTTAATTTTATGACAGAAATGGATAAATTCCTGCCAGAAAATAGGAAGCTTTCGTGACCGAGAGAGGTCACGGTTCAGCAGCGTGCATTTCTGTTAGGTTGTTGTTTTGAAGCAGTGATCTGTGGGATCTTTGCATTTCTCACTGCTGCAGTGCCTGTGGCTCCAAGTAGGCTTCGTGTAGGGGTGGCGATGAGGAAGACCCACCAGCAAATGTTGTACAATTAGTTGTACCTGTAACTAATGGCTGAGATGGGGGGGTTGCCAAGAGCAGCTACGTTTGTCATTCCTTCCTGCAGGAGTAAGAGGGGGGCCGTACAGAGGAGAAGAGGCTAAAGCTATTTTGAAGCCTCGAAGTAGTGAAATGGGGTTTTTTACCCCCCTAACTTCTGCCTGTGACACAAATACATCAATTAATGAAAATAGACTTCATGGGAGCGGGGGGACCCCAGCAGTGTCCGGAGAGGAGCGGCCGAGCCGCCGGCGCGGTGGGACGCTCTGCCGGGGAGCGGCGTCCCTGGGCTGCACCCTGCACCGGGACCCATCAGGGAGGCACACGGGGAGTGTCTGGTCCACTCAGAAGTTTGAATAGTGTGGTCTGTGCAATGAGAACTGAGGTAAGATGGAAGAGCGTGGAAATGGTGGAAGTCTTTCTTTTTTAAAAGTTGTTTGATTTTTATTCACCCGGTACAGCGAGCCTCTTGGTTTCTTTAATACCAAGCAAGTGCATAAACATCTAAACTTATACCCTCACACTTTTTCTTTTTTAATATTCCAGGTACTGGAGGTGAGTTTGTAAAACCAAGATAAAATTACTTTTGTACTGAATAGATTATAGTACTGTCTGTCTCATTGCTGCAATGCAGCCGGAGAGGTAATTATTCAGATGTGGCTGATCACCTTTCTTGCTAGAAAAGGAGAGGCGTTTGTATCAGTTCCATCATTGCTTTGCAGTTTAAATCTTTAATAACATCTGGACATAATCTGAAATGTAGTGGTCTAAGCAAGAGTGTTGTGTGTTGCTTCTCACTGAGTGGGAAAGGACCCCCACCCGTGAGATCACACGTGGAATGGGTGTAAATCCTCGGCCTCGATGCCTGTGGAAGGACTTGATGGTTGGGCCGCACGTGTCTCGCAACGGCTGTCCATCACGCCGACCACAGCCAATGGTCCCGAGGGTTTTCCCATCTTTCTGTACCCATCTGTCTCTTGATTTTTACTTGGACTGAAAAATCTTTGGGACAGGATGGATATTTTTCCTTACGTGTTCACAGCCAGTAGTATACAAATATTCTTTCAGCTGGCACAAGATGTATGTCAGAAAATTAATATGTATAAATTCTTCTTTTGTTTCCTTTAGAATTGCTGCCTTAGGGAGAGGACAGAATTGCTGCCTTAGGGAGAGCACAAAAATACCCCCCTGCAGAGTAAAACCTCTTCTCAAAGGAAACATTAAACACAAATGCCTGAACTTGGGACTAAAATAATTAGTACATAGTGTATCTTTTGGCCTTCCCTTGGAAGAAAACCACTATTAAAACGCAACATTAAATATGCTCTGCTCATGTGGAGAGTTTGTTTAGTTTTCCTAGAATAATTTCATTCATCTCACATGGCTTAGCTTGCAGAAAGATTGAACACACCTTCAGTGGTATTTTAAGGTTGCGATTTAATTAGCAATTGATTTTGGAAAACTAAATACAAACCCAGGAAGAGCCTGATGCTGAGCAGAGGCAACTTCTGGACAGTCCCAGGCCTGAAATAATACAACCTTGTTATCATTTATTTCTCTCTTCTCTCTGGAGGTTGGCAGGAAGGCTGGAGCACCTGGCAGCAGCCGTTGCTACATCTTCCTTTTCCAGTTACATTTGTATCAGAGATGGAAAACAAAAAAGGGAAAGAGGGACTGTCTCTTCTCTCTTATAGTGGAATACTTGCGGGAGAGGGATGCTAATGCTTAAAAACCAGAGAGCTACTTTGTGTTTGGATCTCACCAATGTGTCTGAGCCCAAGCTGTGAGGGAGAGAGCTGTTCCAGTGGTGCGGGGGTCCGGGGGGGACCGATGCTCTTGCGGGTGACATTTACATCTTTGCACAAGGCTCCCTAACGTCAGTACAACCATGCCACCTTGTGTTAATTTCTGTTTCCTCGTGGCCTTGAGCGGTCAGAGAAAAAAAAAAAAATACAAAAGAATTTTCTGTGTGTGGATGAGTGTGTGTAGATATGTCATTTCTTTAATGCTGTTAAATGTTTTCTATCTCCCTGCCTGAGCCTGGCTGTGTTTCAGTAGCAGGTGAAGTGATTCCACTCTGTCACTTTGCACTTTAAAATTTTGGACAAATTAGAATTTTGAATTCATAGTTATATTTTCAAAGGATGTTAATGATGAAGAAGTTGAGCTGTTGTGGTATGTATGTGTCTAGTCCAGCATGGGTAACTCTTTCTGGACTGCCATAAACTCCCTGCTGAAGAGGGGGTTATGCCTCGGCTCCGGGGAGTTTGATCCATTGTATCCCCAACACCCTGGAAACTTTGGGTGGACATGGGGTGATTTTGGCAGAAAAAAAATGACTTGTGGATTTTGCACCGTGGAATTAATAGCATTAAGAGTGTTTTATTGCGAGGAGTTACATTTGAGAATGCTTTCAATTAAATTTGATATGGATATGCATAAAGCTGTTCAAAATAAGAAGTATTAATTAAACCTTTGCCTCTTTTCTGCATAGTCAGCAGCAGAATATGTGAAGTCCCGCCTGCCTGAAGTCCTGAAACAACATCTTCAAGACTACGAGAAGGACAAGGAGAACAGTGTGCTGTCCTATCAAACCATCCTGGAACAGCAGATTTTATCAATTGATCGAGAAATGCTGGAAAAATTGACTGTATCCTACGATGAAGCAGGTATATTTGGGTTTCTTTCTAAGCTACATTTTACTGAAGAAAAATCGCTCATTTTCAGTCTTTCCCCTGAATACTAGTGCTTATGCTGGCAAATTGAACTTTGTCCTCAAAGGTATGAGGTGAGACTCGGTGAAACGTTTCTTTCTCCTAAAATCAAGTTGAGATAGAAAATTTTCCACTTCAGTGACTGAATATTAACTAGCTGATAGGACAGTTATTTTTCTAACAGCGCTTTGTCCTTTGTAATGCGCTGATGTTGATTGATCTAGCTGTGCCTCTTCATTGTCTCTGCAAGTGGTGTGACCTGGTTTCTGCTGTTTTCTCCTCCACTGCTAACTTATTTTTGGGCTTACTTAGCTAAGAATGTACTGGATAGTCACAGAAGCTGATTTTCAAATGCGACGTGATGCGTGTGGATAGCCAAAACCAGAAAATTTGTAGAGTATTGGAGGCATTTTAACAGTGCAGTTACTGGCGTCTTCAGTTTTGTTCTTTATGTCGTCATAATTTGGAAGTTTTCTTAGTTTTAGCTAATACTTTTTACTAGCATTTTGGTTTAAAGTAGTTAGAAATGTCTGCCAGCTTTTAGATCCTTCACAGCGTTGTCCTGACGCATGGTCTTCTTTACAGTTACAGAGAAAAAAAAGAGATGCTCTTGACGTTTTTCGCTGATCTTCCAAAACATCCACCAATATCTGCTATATGCCTGCTCCCCTCAATCTCACCAGGTTTCTCAGTGTTCAGATCTATTGAACTTAGCTACGCGACCTTATAAAGAAAGAATCCAACAAAAAGAACAGGTGGTTGTTTTACTGCCGAATTAGTATTCACGGCAGCGAGTGGCCAGGCAGTGCGGGGACGAGCCGTGTTTCCACGGCAGGTGTGTGCATGCCTGCTCCCCCAGCAGTGCACCTCTCGGCCACCTTTAGTCCTTCCCTCTCACTGAAAGATGCTGCTCTCGGTTTCTCCACTTCAACCACTCATGGCTGAGAGCTGCAACACACCATCTCCCTTCATCTGCAGGCCTACCAACCTCCCTCAGGCAGCCTTGTAGTACAAAAGGAGAGTTTCCACTTAGCATGTGTTGTGGTTTGGGCCTGGTTGGCAGCCAACCACAATGCAGCAGCTCTCTCTCCCTTCCCCTCCGGCAATGAGAAGGGACAGAGAGCCAGGCTTGGGGTCCGAGATAGGACTGGGATGGGGAAAAATTCCCCTTTATGATCACGAGCAAAAGGCAGACTTGTTAGGGGAAGAAAAAAAAGAACATACATTTATTACAGACACTAACAACATATAACAGAGTAGGACAGTGAGAAGCATTGCCACACCTTGAGAACACCTTCCCCCCACCCCTCCCTTCTTCCCGGGCCCAGCTCTGCTCCCGATATCTCTACCTCCTCCCCCAGTGGCACAGGGGCAGGGAATGAGGGGTGCAGTCAGCGCTGCCACTTCCCTTATCTTCAGTGAGGGGAGCGTCTGGAACTTGTTCCTCCTGCTCCATCGTGGTCCCCCTCTCACAGGAGACAGTCCTCCACAAACCTTCTCTGACATGAGTTCCTCCCACGGGCCGCAGCGTTCCCCACACTGCTCCGTCATGGGTCACTAACTTCCTCCGACTGGATTCCCTCCCACGTGCTGCAGCCCTTCCCGAGCTGCTCTGGCGTGGGACTCCCCCGCATGCTGCAATCCTCCCAGCACTGAATTACAGCAGCGGGGCTGCCTTTTCCCACGAGACCCCGGCCTTCTTTGGGCACAGAACCTTGATCAGCAAGCAGAAGCCACAGGCCACAAATCAATGTCTGCTCCACCATAGATCTTCATGGGTGGCAGGGGGGGCCGCCCTGCCGTCTCACCACAGGATACAGGGGGGTCTCTGCTCCGGCACACCTCCCCCCTCCTTTCTTCCTCTGTTCCTCCACTGACCTTGGTGTTCATGCAGCTGCAGCAACTCCTCCTCACCAGTCCAACTGCCCGTCACCACGTCCCTTCTTAAATACGTTATCGCAGAGGTGCAGCTGATTGGCTCAATTTCCCAAACAGAAGTGGAGCTGACGTGGAGCTGGGGGAGCTTCGAGAAGCTTCTCACAGGGGGCCACCCCGGTAGCCCCCTCCCCTGCCACCAAAAAACTCCACCACTCACTCAACCCAGGACAGCATGTCTCCATTTTTTGGTTTTTCTTAATCCCCTTTTCTTGTTCTGTCATTCCCCTGACCATACCTGGCACCGTGGTGCCCTTGGGGAGCCGTGCTGAGCCCAGCTCCGAGTTTGCCTTCGGCCATTGCAGGTAAAAGCCTCGAACTCGTGACTGGGTTTTTCATCCTGCTGAGATTGTGTTTGCCAGACACCAGCCCGAGTGGATGGCTCTTCTGTTTGGTTAGGTGGCACCCTGCTGAAATGACCGTCATCTCGTCCAGCTCTGGATAACCAGAGCGCTGGCAAGCTGGTGTTCATTTGTCCTATTACTTTGTGCTCATGCTGCAGCGCCCTGAAATACTTAAAATGCTCAGAGTACTTACCAACTTTGTTCAGACTCCCACTCAGACTCCCACTCACTCGCAATATGATTCTCTTAAGCTACTTTGATCTCGAAGGCTCTCAAGCAACTTAAAATGCCATTTCCAGACTACGCATTCTGGGTGCTTACAGGGCGGTGAGCTTTGGTAACTTCAAGTAATTGCAATGCTCTATTACTTTATCAATTATATTCATGCGCTCAGCGAATAAATAAGCCTGATTCTCTTAAACTGCTTGGATCTTGAATGCTCTCGAGCCTCGTACGGTGCCATTTGCAGACTGCATATGTCACATACTTAAGGAGCTCGGAGTCATGTGAGCTCTCAAAGGACAACAGAGTTAAAATGAGGGCACAGGATATTTGTTTAATCACATATGGCCTGGTTTTGATGAGGCATAAAAAATAAGCTGCAGAAGTTGTTGCTTTCTGTTGCTTCTGTTTTTCTTTTTGAACGCAGAATTTACCAGTCCAATGAATCCTGTAAATCTTTTTCCCTGGTTTGGTCACTTCATCTCTCCAGTCATTTTGATTGATAGAAGTTTGTTAGGAAGGAGAAAATGCAGTGGAGGAATTACTGACTTGTGTCAGAAGAAAAAGAAAGCATTTTCCTTTATTGAAAAATGCGTGTTTGTACAGAGAAAATAAAGATTAAAACTGCTTGAAACACACTTTGGGGGATTTATATCATGCAATAAAACAATCATGTGGAAATGAGAAGCTACATAAATAACTAGTTTAGAAAAGTCCCAGCACATACACGCATTCAGAATGGAGAGAGCACGCAATTCACTGTCAATAAAAAGCCAGACTTTCAGCTTCCCAATCAGGTAGAGACACCTCTAGAAATTAAAACACGGAGATTGAGCCCACTCCTCATTCTAATCATGTCACTTGTTTACTACAAAAGCAGATACACTGCTACCTGCTCTTGAAGTAAGATCTGATTGTGAGCGAAGCGCAGAAAATGGGCAGTTAAGTATAATTGCTGCAGCTGTTCGTGATCCTGAGCGCTCCAGCTATTCAGCGCTCGAGCAGTTTTGTGTTGGTGACATTTTTCTCTTATTAGCGTTTTTCCGTACCGAAGTCACTTCAGTGAGGAGATCAAGCTGCTGGTGGTACAGACAAAATGAAGAAAGCAATCTTTAAAAATCAAAATGGTGAAAATAAAAGTGATTGTGATCCAAGGGGAAAATACAACTTTTTCTGGCAGGGGACTACATGAGACATCAACAAAATCCATCCCGGAGAGCACCGTCGAGGGTTTAACTTCTGGAATGAGGAGCAGTTGGAGTTCTGCTAGATGTCAGCCAGGGAAACTAGGAAGTTAAATGTTTAATGTATGTGATATAAGGGGTCCGTAGCCCACTGCAGCAGGGTGCTGCATGTAGGGGAGCACTTGCACAGCAGGGGAGCAGACCTTTTCCACCCAGGAAACCTTTCACATCCCTCCTGGACGGGCCGTTTTCCGAGGGTTCGCAGAGTGCTCACCCCCAGCTAACTCCCTGCACCCCAGGGATGTCTCCCAAAACAGGAAAAATTCAGCTGCATCCATTTGCCAGAATAGAACAGAACTGCACTAAAATGGCTTGGGCTTCTGGTACAATTCTGCATATTAATTTGGCCTTTCTAGCAGCATGCAATATTAATAACGTGCAGCTTTGATGGTCTCGACATCCTAATGCCTCTTTCTGTAAATCTTTCCCTTTAGGAAATCAGTTTGTCAGAGCTATCAAATAAAATGGGTTCATCTAAAAATAGTCAAATATTGACAAGATTTTTCGTGAAGTTTGACTAAGGAGGCTTTATACAGTGAGAGCAGGCCAAAAGTGACAGATGGGTACAAATCCTCTCATAATCTTTAAATCCCTTACTTTAAAAAGTGGCATTCTTGACTAGCTAAGGCTGGGTTAATTTTGTGCAAGAATATTTTTTCCCGCTGAAGGCTCGCTGGATGTTAATCCTATTCCTTCAATTTATAGCGTCTCTAAACATCTGGGGTGGTCAGTGACTACTCTGTACAAATGCAAGTTTAGGGTATTTAAAGGTACTTTGGCATTTAACTCTGGGGTGCCAGGCAGCTAAAGCCTGCTAGGAGGTTCTGCTGGTGGTTTTGTACTATAGTCAATAGTTTTTCCTTTAATGGATGGCCCCTCTCCCCCAGAGTCCTGTAGAAATTGAGCTTCATTATTGTGTGACAAAAAAGATGAATTTCATTTTTCCCTGCCACGAAGCACTCATGAAACGTATTGATATTTAGGCACTGCTTCCAGAGCCAGATGTCAGCCCCAAATTTCTTAGCTAATATTTGCCAGGGTGCCCCATGTTTCTTGGAGCCCCCTGAGAGGAAAGCGGGTGGCTGCTCCTCCACGCACACTCCCACGGGGGGACCAAAAGCTCACGCCTGGCCAGACCCTGCGCGCCTCTCCCTGTGGGTGCAGTTTGCCTCAGATTTTATTTGAAAACCTTTGGATTCAGTTGATGTGC